CCCTGTGTTCAGCCAGCATGGAAGGCTCCCTGCCAGCAGAACTCAATAGTGCTACTGGAAGGGTTCCCCCATCAACTCTGACTGTTGATGGGGGATTTAAGCAATTTTTTTTTTTTTTTCTTTCCACCAGTGGTGTCCTGTATTATTGGTCAGTCTCTCAAACATGTACTTTATACCAATTAGAGTAAGCTATAGTAGTGGCATAGACTAACTAAAAGGCTAGATATTGTCCAAAAAAGTTTCTAAATAAGTCAATGGTAGATTTTCAAGTCTTCTATTGAGAATTCTCTACATGGTTGTCTTGAGAGCTGTATACATTAATGGGAGTATTGACTGGAAAGGCTGATAAGGTTGAATTTGGCTGCATAACTGAGTTTCTTGTTTATAGGTATGACAGGAGGAACATTTATTTTTCAATTAGAAACTTTAAAGGATTTGCAGAAATGGTGAAACCAATCCAAATCTTTTTAAAATCAGTGTTTTTCTTAAATTCAGAACTGTGCCAAAAAAATCACAATTTCTGTTTATGCTGTGGTAGCCTTTTTTTTTTTTTTTTTTTTTTTTTTTGTTTTGTTTTTTTATCGCATGGGCTTTGTGTAAGAAAAAAAAATTATATAGCTTTCGAGAACTTGTGAAGCCAAGATACTTTTTACATCTCCTCCCCCTAAGACGTTTTAAGCGTTTGAGCTGCTGCGCACGCACACTATTGAGAAGAAGCCTTTTCCAGATCACCAGAATCTTACACAACTTCAGTCTAGGATTTTTGTCTAGAACCTTTGGAACCATCAGGATGTAAATAAAACTCATAACCAAGATCCATATTATTAATTATGTGAAAGAGCCAAAATTCAAGTAATGGCAACCAAAGTCAATAAGTGAAAAAAAAACATACCAGTTTGCAATCTGTATTATGCACACCCCAGCCGCATCTCTTTTGGTAAATTAAAGCACCTTGGACGAACAATCACCTTTCTAGGAAAATGAAAACACAAATGTTTTTATGAACGTGTTTACTTCATACTTTTGATTACAAAACTGAGTTATAGATAACCAAAAACAACCATGGTGACCATAGAACACCACCATAATTTGTCTCATACATGCTACAGTCTATTTGCACAGTCTATTAAAGTTCGGTTGAATAGGGACCTACAGGGAAAACTTAAGCTGGATAGATATATATATAGATAGATATATACAGTCAGGTCCATAAATATTGGGACATTGATGCAATTCTAACATTTTTGGCTCTGTACACCACCACAATGGATTTGAAATGAAACAAACAAGATGTGCTATAACTGCAGCCTGTCAGCTTTAATTTGAGGGTATTTACATCCAAATCAGGTGAACAGTGTAGGAATTACAACAGTTTGCATATGTGCCTCCCACTTGTTAGGGGCCAAAAGTAATAGGACAACTGGCTTCTCAGCTGTTCCATGGCCAGGTGTGTGTTATTCCCTCATTATCCCAATTACAATGAGCAGATAAAAGGTCCAGAGTTCATTTCAAGTGTGCTATTTGCATTTGGAATCTGTTGCTGTCATGCTGAAGACAAAACTGAAGGGAAAATGCCCCAAGAACAAGCAGGAACTGAAGACAGTTGCAGTAGAGGCCTGGCAGAGCATCACCAGGGATGAAACCCCAGCGTCTGGTGATGTCTATGCATTCCAGACTTCAGGCTGTAATTGACTGCAAAGGATTTTCAACCAAGTATTAAAAAGTGAAAGTTTGATTTATGATTATTATTCTGTCCCATTACTTTTGGTCCCTTAACAAGTGGGAGGCACATATGCAAACTGTTGTAATTCCTACACCGTTCACCTGATTTGGATGTAAATACCCTCAAATTAAAGCTGACAGGCTGCAGTTAAAGCACATCTTGTTTTTCATTTCAAATCCATTGTGGTGGTGTATAGAGCCACAAATGTTAGAATTGTGTTGATGTCCCAATATTTATGGACCTGACTATATAGAGAGAGATCTATATATCTCTCTCTGAATCAGCTGAATTTCAGGCCATTTATGGCCGTTCCCAGTTGATTGAAGTTAATCTGAGTGACCTGTATCGAACGGGAATGTTGAAAAATGTTTGAGTAGCGGGCTTCAGTGCCCATTGATGTATCCTCTGCTGTCAGAAAACAGTTGCAGAACAGTGGAGAAGATTCCTCTATTCTCCTTGCTTGTGTGGATGCGGAAATCTGTTCATTTTATTTCTTCACTTTTTTTTTTTTCTCGATCAGCCTAGTGGCTGATTGGAGAAAAAATACATCTATGACCAACCTTACATTTAGCATGTGCAGAAATTAGTTGAAACATTGTAAGATGGCGAGTTAGGATGACAACACTTTTGTGTGATGATGCATTCACTATTAGATTTTCAAAACTTAAGAAAATTAAATGAAAAGCTGGATTTAAAAAAAAAAAAAAAAAAAGGGAATACCATACATATACCATATACACATAGTGACCCTGTCATTTTTGATGTCCTGTCTACCATATCACACATTGCAAAAATTCTACCTGGACAGCACTTTTGCCTATTCAATTCTGCTGTACGCTGGCCTGTGTACAGAAAGGGTTACCGATTAGCTGCCCATATATATGTCTCAGTCCCTTAGTCATGGCTGAGCTTGCATGTTAAACCAGAATATCCCCTGAGGGAGCCTAGAACAGCAGCTATTTGAGTGTGGGGAAAGTTGAGTGCTCCTCCCTAGATTAGATGGGAAACAAAGGGTAAAAATAGGTTAGAGTCATTAATGGTTCATTTAAGTGTGATTTATTATTGAAGTTGCCACTTTAATTTACATGACTATTTACTTCCATTCTACGCTTTATTACCTGAAGAATTTAATAAATCTGTATGCTCCATAATGATTCAGTATTGCTATTTTATTTTTAGGTGAGTCATATTTTTGCTTTATTTTGTAGTACACCTCTGAAATTACTGTATCGATTAGAAAAAAAAGCTATTTACAGGAGCTTTTTTAATTTGGTTTTGCCCAAACAATGATCATCTCACAGCAGCCTAAAGATTTGCAAGCTACACAATTTGTAGTGTTGTGTACTGAATGAGCATCTATTGATTAGAAGCCTTTCATGCTGTGCAGTGGCCAATCTTGTTTAGAAGGAGAGCATCCATCTAATTGCCTGTTTTGTTGTGGCTGTGTTACTAATGTAGTATTGTGGGAAACAAAGGAAAGGGTGGGTGGTCCTTCAGCACGCACACTTTCTCTTCAAAAGGGGTCTGCATCTGAAACAGATATTGCTATTTGCTCTGAGCCAGTTAAACCGAATTATAAGTAGATGACTGCAGTGCAAGGTATACCAAAGCTAACCTCAAGGCAGGCATTTTTTTCAGAAATTGTTGTATGCAAGACCCAGTTTTAACAAAGTAGCCAAAAATAAGTTGTCCTTTCCATGGTGAGGGTATTTTGCTGTTTGCCTATACTATGTTGCCCTGGTTTATGTGACTGTAGCCTGATGTTGTACTAAGAGGCCGTAAGATGTGATTTGGGTTACTAATGCACTAGTGCATTTCCACAATACATTTTATTTAGATTGTGTTGTGGTAATGTGCTTTAAGTCTTTAGTAGGTTGTTAGCACCCCCTTAATACACCAGAAATTGACTGTACCATTTTTGTGTACACTGCAAGATGCAGCTTGTGCGTTGTAGTGCTATTCAGTACAGGTGCTTTGCCTGTGACACCTTGTTGGGATGGCATTCAAAATGAATGGCACTGTAGTGCATTTGTGGTACACCGTGCATCAGGGTAATGCATGGTGTACCACAACACCGGGTTACAAATGCACCACAGTGCCATTCATTTTGAATGCCATCCCAACAAGGTGTACAGGCAAATCACCTGTACTGAATAGCACCCCAACGCACAAGCTGCACCTTGCAGTGTACACAAAAAATGGTATAGTGGGTTGTCAGTCAATTTCTGGTGTATTAAGGGGGTGCTAGCAACCCATTATGTACCATGTTTGCGCACACTGCAAGGTGCAGCTTGTGCATTGTGGTGCTATTCAGTACAGGTGCTTTGCCTGTGACACCTTGTTGGGATAACACGGTGTTGTGGTACACCATGCATTACCGTGATGCACGGTGTACCACAACACTGGGTAACAAATGCACCACAGTGCCATTCATTTTGAATGCCATCCCAACAAGGTGTCACAGGCAAAGCACCTGTACTGAATAGCACCACGAGTGTAAATGTGTTCTAGAAGGTTTGGGATTTTTTTTTTTTTTTTTTTTTTTTTGACGTTCTACCAGTTGATGATCATTCTGGACCTGGTATAAATGTTATTGTCACAAAGAAATATGTCTGGTACAATTGATTACATACATCCGGTCATCTCAGAAGAAATTTTCTTCCATTTTACATATAATTTCTGCTAATAAAGAATAAACAGATAACATGGTGCTTCCATTTACTACATCAGAAGACGAAATGGGTGTTTATTTTTAAGAGGCCAGTTTGAACGGTTGGTCCACCTATAAAAAAAAAAAAAAAAATAATTTGAGTAAATACCGGTGTGGTGAATCACTCTGGCTCCTTACATATGTCAGGGACTCCAGTGATCAAACCTGCCCTTAACATCCCCCCTCAGAAATGGCTGCAGCCAGTGTGTGGAGCTGGGAACTCGGCCTTGGAGATCTTACTGTTTTAGAGTCTAAAATAAAAAGAACTGGTGATTTCAGTCTACCAGCATCTACCTAAAAGCTAATACAGTTTTGGGTGGATTTATACTTCATGAAATACTGTATGATTGTTGATTGCTTATCATGCCAGACCATGAGACTCTGGGAAGCTGTAGGCACCTTTTATACCGAAGAATAATGGACATAGTTTAAATATATATATATATATATAGAATTATATTATGCCTTTTTATTTTGTCCTATCTTGATCTTATCAATGTGTACTGTTGCATTATTTAGGAATGTGTTTGTACTTTTTTTCTTTTAACAAGATTCTGTATTTTTTAGTTCCCAGAATGCAGAATGCATGGGCTAATCATCCACCACGTTACAACCAGCCACTACAAAGGTAGGTTTAGACTTTCAAATAAAACCTTACCTTATAAACCTGAACAGATACCTGGATCCTGCACATTAACATGACTCGCTGCTGTCACATACTGCTATTTCTCTTTTATCTCCCAGCTTAGAACCTGATACTTCTAAAAACCGAACATAGACTGGGATTTAAGGACAGGCTAAACAAATTTCTTTTTAGACTTGCTGTGGAAATTAATGAGGCATAACTAATGGTGTTCCACTTTATAAGCTCTATGCTGTGACTGGCGTGTTAGCACAGACCAGCTATTGATTCTTGCTACAAACCTCTTGAAAAGTCCTAATCAACTTCTCTGGTAGAACTTTTTCAAGCCTGACAAGCCCATTGTAGGACAGTGTCACTGTAGGTCAGTAGTTATTAGTTGCCACTGAAAACAGTTTCTTTAACTACTTAAGTCTCAACTGAATTAAAAGCAGAAGGGTCTTGGTGGAGGATTATGGAATCCACGGACTAATAAGCGGCAAGCAATGGAAAGAATGTGACATGGTTTGTAATGACATATGTTCACTGACAAAACACAGAGGTTTGTGAAGAACCATACTTGCCTTTTACATGGAGAAGTTATATTGAACGCTTTATTTTTAAGTCGATTATAACTTGGCTAGTATTTTTGCTTGTTTCTAGTGTCCCCATAAATGATATGCCAAATTGCAATAACCACACTTTACATCCTGAGCAGAGAAACATGCACTGTAGCCCTTAAATAGCAAATCATACTCTAGATTGGTTGGTTGGAAAAAGCACCTGGTTGTTGGTGAAAAAAACAGACTTCTTGTTTGTCTTGGTTTTATAGGTACACATAGCATTCCCATAGATTAAAAAAAAAAAGTTTACTTGCAATTTTGAAATTTTGATATTTTACCTACTGTGCTTGCCTTTTCCTTATTAGATCTATTTAATAGTCCTTAGACTTTTTGTTTAATTTTTTTTTTTTTTTTTTGTGTGAGGGAGAATATTTTAGTTTTATGTGCAAAATGACTTACTGATATTTAGCATTTTTTGTGTGTGTGTGTTCAATAGGAAAATCTGCTTATCAGCATATAAAATGAGGCAAGACTATTGCAACTTTATTAGGGCACAGTACAATATCTTACAGCAACCAATCATTGGTTGTCTTTGGAGTGACTGTAAACCATCAGTAAACATCTGGTTGCTATGAGTTACTACACTTTGCTCTTCCTTGCTGTTCTTATTAAGTATGAGAGTTCTGTGCCATTACTGAGATATGGGCAGTTAAGCATTAGACAGGTAAAGTTGTATATGGGACCATACCTGTAGCGCTTGTGAGAGATAGGCTTACGTTTGTGGTTGGTTTTTAAATTGGTTTGATGCTCCAAGGCAATTAAAACATTTGCTGCATCAAGTATTATGGGGTGCTAATCTAGATCATAATAGATGTTGAGTTTGTGTTCCCATATACACTGTATACCAAATGTCAGTCTATGCCAATTAGTGCTGATGTTGCTAGGTCACGGCGGTCAATTGAAAACCACATCAATAGAACTTGAAAAGGTTTTTCCCCCGATCAGACCTTCTGACATATTGCACAGAATAATGGATGGGAAAAAAAAAAACTGACAAGGCCCCTACCCTAGATTCAGAATTCTTTGCTGTAAGAATTCATTTGCAATCTGCAATTAACTCGAAAGAATGGTGAGCCTTAGAGGGTCTGGACTTTGAGAAAATAAAGCATTCTCCTGAGCTGCTTATGTTTACCCTTTGGATAAGGTACTCTGGCTTGGAAATCTAGTGCATGTTGTGCGTTTCCTTCTAAACACACAATGTCTTGTTGAGGTTTCTGATTGTAGTCTTTGGTGGTTTTAAAGAATTAAAAAAACAAAGTGCAGAGAATTTCTATAAATTATGTTCATGCAGAAATTAAGAAATATTTCATGTACATTTGATGTTGACTGACCTTGATGCCGGTTTGTTTTGTAGACATTATGGGCATAACCCAGTCCAGCATTATCCAAACCCTGGACATGGACCAAGTAACTACTATCAGCGGCACAGTAGTGATTGGACTAGACAAGTAAGTACATACCTAATATGTAAAAAAAAACTAAAAATTATATGTGTGTGTGTGTGTGTGTATGTATGTATGTATGTATGTATGTATATATATATATATATATATATATATATGTGTGTGTGTGTGTGTGTATATATATATATATATATATATATATGTGTGTGTGTGTGTGTGTGTGTGTGTGTATGTATGTATGTATGTATATGTGTATATATTATTATTATTATTACTACGAGTTTATATAGCGCCAAAGGGTTTGCTCAGCGCTGTGTACAATATATATATATATATATATATATATATATATATATATATATATATATATATATATATATATATATATATATATTGCGCTTTTTTTTTTTTTTTTTTTTTTTTTTTTTATCTGCAACAACTATATGTCCCACTTATGAGTAATTAGATAGCAGAGGACTTTGTGCGTGCCTTGTTTTCAACCAAATTCACAACAATGAACCGATTTTTTTTTTTTTTTTTTTTTTTTTTTTTTGTGTGCAATTGTGTTTATAGGAGCACAATTATAGACACGTCAGACAAACCTCCCTTCTAGTCAGCATATTTAGAGATGTTGTGAGTCTACTTAAACTTCTGCTTAGTCTGATATTGTTGCTTTTGTCACAAAGCATTGTTGGCTTACAGCGAGACTGAATTAAACGATTTGCTTTTGCACATCCTAATCCAGTAAACAAACTCTTAATTTTGTGTGTTTTTGCAGCCCTACAACCAGGGAAGGAATTACCAAATGCCACCCCAGTCGGAAGATACAACAACCGGAAGTAAATTTCTTCAGCAACCTTTTTAAGCAGTTTGTGTTAGGAGCCTTCTGTAATAGCATCCGGACCGTTTCATTTTTAACATTAAAGCTCTCAAAGTTTGTGTAAATCTGTATTTTTTTTTTTTTATTTTTTTTTTTTTGTGTAGGTTTTTTTTATTTTTTATTTTTTTTTTTCTTCCTTCAATCTGAGCTGTATGTAAAGTTATATTTGTAACCAAAAATTTGATGTCTGGAAAATGTTTTTAAAATACTGGCAGATGCAATCTGTGAATTAATCTGATAAAATGTTAAGGATAATTTAGTAAATCTAGCAAGACTAAGATTATCATGTCACCTTGTTTTGTACAGGAGGTTTTTTTTTTTGTTTATGTTACAGTAGATATTGGTTGTTGTCTGGAATATTTTTTAAAATATATTTGCCTCCTTTATTATACATTGTTTGTAGTATTTTAATTTCTGCTGAAACTTTTATAAAGATCTCCACAAATTGCAATTTAAGGCTTCCTGTGTTTGTTTTTTCTTCAACAAAGATCACTGTCATTTAGTAAATATAGTACTAAATCTGCACATCTTAAACAAATGTCACACTCTTTATAGTCTTGTGTTTTGTGTGTGTATATAATTTTTGTTAATATTATCACTGTTCAACAGAGGTAACAATTTGAATAGGTTGAGGCAACTCAGTAATTTTTGGCTGTAGTGTTTTAGAAGCAGGTTTACAGTTGCTGATAGCACTATTCATGTCTGAGAGCCATCCAATGCAATTCTTAAAATAAAAAATAATGCATTTGGGGTGCGTTTTATTTACTTACATTCAAATGAATTCATCCGAGACCTTTAAAGACCCATCATAGCATATTTGAAAATGTATATCAGTAAGGCACAGACCACTATGTTCAAGGAAGACACAATTGAGCCATTACCCAAAAACATTTGCAAAACTGTATACAAAGTATCCATACCTGCAGAGGAAATTGCATACTGGACTTAAAAAAAAAAACAAAAAAAAAAAAACTTTGCTGTGCAGCCAGCTTTGTTTTAAAAAACTGCAGCGTGGAATTCAGTTGTGTTGAACATATTACTCTCCACAATGGTGTATTAACCTCAAGTGATATCTTCTGTTTTCATGTAGGCTAGGGTTTTTTTTTTTTTTACCTTGAGTAACCCAATAACTGCTTATGAGAAACAAAGGCAATGATGTATATAAATCTTATTTCTTTCTCATTTCCTTTTTTTTCTTTTTTTTTTTTTTTTTTTTTTTTATAGCCAAAGACACAATTTCTTTATGCTGTTAGCTTTTTCCTCCCATTTCTCTAGATGACTATATGGTATTTTTTTTCCTGGAATCATAGTTACTTTATGCTTTTAGAAGAGCACACGCGGCACTCCTTGCATACTAGCACTTGTAGCTAAGCACCCCTTCCTTAACTTTAACGGTTTTTGAAAAGATGGGGAGGTCTAAGGGTTGAGCTACATGGGTGATTTGGTCTTGCGCTTGGTGACTTAACCTCTTGTTGCCATTCACCTTATTTGCAATGTTTGCTGCAAATTAGGTGATTGCTAACAAGTGGTTAAATGGCTCAGTAGCATCAGATTGAAGTCGCCCACGTAGCTTCTCTTTTCCAAAGGGAATGAATGGTTGTGCAAGTATAGTAGAAGTGTGTAATTTTTTTTTTTTTTATGTTGTGATTGGATAGAAACAAACAAATCATGTACACAGAAATAAATGGGAGTTTATGTATCTGCCAATTTAATAACCTTTGAATGAAATCCAATGTTTTTATCTGCTATGTGAGGTAAATTGATGGTGAAGATTTTGTTTATTATAGAATAGGCATCTGCTGCATTGAATGTCTGTATGAAAAGTCATTGTTTGCATAGTTGATATATTGAACCAAGAAAGCAAGCATTGCTTTCTGTACTAGAACAGTTCCTTTTGCTTTCGTGTTTTTGAATAGGAAATATGTTTTACATGAAGAGGGGAAGGAGGAGGGAGTAGTGCTTGTTTTGGTGGTTTAGTTCTATATGATTTTTGTTTTCTGGGAATCTTATCTTGTATTTTTGTGGAAAATTTCCTCCAGGTCCCTATGTCCCCCTCCTTAATAAACACACTGAACAATAAAACAATGGAGTAATAAAGTAGGATCACACAATAGAACCAAATGTTATGGAGGTTGTGGGGACTAAACTGATTTGTACTTTTTGTATGTCAAAAAATGTGTCGTCTGGTATTAATAACAGCTGGGCAACCCACATTTTCAGAAAGCCAGCACCAGAGTTTCAATATTTTTGAGTCGCAGAACAAGAACAAATATGCATTATGTTAACTCCTGATCTGCATAGCTATATTGGTTCATCAAATATTGAAGCCAGTGTTTCAGCAGGGAAACTAACATTTTCAGGAGCGGTCTGCAGCTCAAGTCTAAGTATTTCTTGCAGGCTAACGCTGGCCATACACTATACAATTTTCTGCCCAATTTCCTATAGATTTACCTTCAAATATGTCATGCAGGAGCCTGCCTAATTGGATAGAATTTAAAGTGTTGCTAGTTTTGACCTATTATATGGTTTTTGGTAAATCTAAACCAAAAATCTCAAGAAAATTGTATAATGTATAGCCAGCCTAAGTTCAATAAAATAAAACCTACTATTCATAGTAGCTGGAGGGAACATTTTGTTCATTCAGGTGTCAGGTAGTACCAGGGTACAGGTATTTGGACCAGAAATAAATGTCCTCAACCACATGCAGACTCCGTATAAGTCTATAACGTTTTTGCCCAGCCATGTCCCTCCAACTGCAGTAACAAGTCCCACTTGATTTATAAAATTCCTCCAGTATATCATCTTGTTAACTATGCAGAGGAGCAGTGTTGTCCCCCTAGAGCTAGGAGTGTCATTCAGGACAATGAACAACCAATATTGCCCTGTATTTAACAATTGTGCCATTACAGAGCAATGACTCATGTCCCTTGCAGCTATCAGAAAATGTACGCAAGGGAATTCAGGTGCTTCAGGCCTTTGGCTGTGTGATAATTTCAACAAATATGCTCTTCAGCCTTCCGTTCGCCTGCAATACTTTGGTTTGGGCCTGGACACATCCCAAGTAAATGTCTATCTCCCAGAAAGAAAAAATTTCTTTCTCTAAGAGCGCATGCTTGAGAATCCAAGAGACATCCAACTGAATTAGAGAGGTGTATTTCATTGGGATCTCAACTTTTCTCATCCTTACAGAAACTACCTTTTGAACCTGTCAAGGATATCCCCCTAGAAGATCTCTCATGCAAAATAGCCTTTTTGGTTGCCATCAGGTCTGCCAGATGTGTTTTCTGAACTGGCAGCCCTTTCTTGTAAAGAGCTTTCCACATATTTGACAATGTTTCATGCCAAAGGCCATCCTTTCCCCCAAATGTGGTTTCAGCATTTCAACTCCATGCATGCATTGACCTCCAATCTATATGCCGTTCTTTTAAGGATCTCTCATTGCAGGGATTGCAAAGCGATTAAAGTATACTTCAAAGCTGCTCTGATCAGGTGGACAGAATCTATTTGTTCTGTCCTTAGGACCTTGCAAGGGAGATCTTGCTTTAAAGTCGTGTTTTCAAGACCTGAAGAGAAGACTGGAAATGGCAAAGGCCTGTGAGGTTTTTGTTTGTTTTTTTTTTTAAATTTTTTGATTGTGTCCTTTTGGGGAGATCTTTCTTTACTTCCTGTTATGTCTACAGGACAGAAGTAAAGTGAAATCCCCAGGTAGCCAGTTTTCTTTCCCTTTGACTCTGTTTAAGGGACAAAGGATCTGTGTTCAGTCTCCTACAGGTGGTGGAAACTGGCAAACAAAAAATGTTGGACAGCCAAGTGTAACCCTTCTAACTCCCATCATGCATTGTTTTTTTCTTTGCTAGCGTCCTTGGATGGACCCACTGTAGATCCAGCAATATCTTGCCTCAAGAAAACACTGAACCTCTTGAAGATGCCCCAGGATTTAATAATTTTATTGACAATTAGAAGCGCTTTCCAAATCCTTTTTTTCGCTAACCGATCCTGTAATGCAATCTAACATTGTGATGATGTCAGTCTACCAAACTTTGTTCAATTGACCTTAACTTTCGTCTCAGAATCCAGCTGTTGTTCACAAAGTTTCTTTTAGCTTTGGAACTTAAACAGGCCATACATTAAGCAGTTTTCTTTCCTGCAAAGAAAATTGCTGTATTTCCCCCATCAACACTGACCACAGAGCTTTTGTATTCTGACAGGTTTTCCAGCTGTCAGAATACGATGATCAGTGTTGACTGCTATAGCTGCTAGCAGTGATCCAACCAGAAAAAAAAAAAAACCTGATAGGCTTGTTGTACTGAAGATGATCAATGAATTGACTTCAGTACAAGCAGCCTGTCAACACGTATATAAATTTGTTCTCTTCCAAACCAGAAACCCAATACAAACACAAACCTTGAACCTGAAAGGTTCAGCCCAAGCTGGGAGACAAGTACTGTTCTATATGAAAGGGTACTGATAGTTTTTTTCTAAAGTCGGCGACCGTGTGTCAGTATTCAAAAAGATGTAGTGTCGTGGGGCAACAAATTGGAGTTTCACACTCTTCCTCTGCCCCCATTTTATGTTGCCCAATCTACCTCCATGCTACAATTGCAGATCTGTTGACTCAAGATGTTCTAGCTGTTGTACCCACAGCAGAACAGTTTCAGGGGTTTTGCAGCAACCTTTTCACTGTTCCAAAACTAATGGAAGTATTTGCCCCGTCTTCGTGTGAATTCCATGGAATCCTCCAGGACTATCATTGCATCAGGAAAACTATCTAGCTTCATGGAAATCAAGGATTCTTAAGCCTTGTACACACTATTTTTTTTTTTTATCCCACTGGGCTGAACGAACAAAAAAAAAAAAAAAAAAAAAAACACAAAACCGATTGCTGTACTAACACAAGCAGTGACAGTACATTAATCTTCCCTGTTGTGATATTGTGTTGTTACAGGGGGCCTGCCCATTGG